GTCATAATTTACCTCCACCCTCCCCCTCCCAAATAAGGCACCCACTGTCGAGAATGACTGGTCCCTAATAGAAATCTGACTCATCGATCACTATAAGAAGCTAGGAGGGAATAGGTAGCAAAACAGTACAATTTCAAAGTTTATCGCTGAGTGCCGAATAAGTCAAAGAACCGGGATAGGACAGCTCGACTAGTTGCTCCCTAAGTGTGCGTGCGCTTGAATAAGCGTTGAACGGAAGTCTGATTTCACATGCTTGGACGACAGCCGCCCAACGCCAACTACTTTTCGCGAAAAATTTGATAGCTTCCTCAATGGTGATCGACCACGTTTTGAACCCGATTTTCCGCTGAAAGGGGAGTTCATCACAGCTTTTTGCATTTCCGCTTTGAGCATTAAAGGCACGCCCCGCGTCTAAAAATGGTCAGTTGTGCGGCCAAAATACTACTCACAAAATGTCGAGTGGCATAAAGTAAAGGAAAAGCAGAAAAGAAACCGTTCCAAATGTCCCATATACAACCCCATGCTGAACTGCGCGTGTACGCGCATAAGGTGAAGGGCGTGGTTGGACGAGTCCTCACTTGCTAGTCTCATCTCTTTCTCCTCATCACCGCACTCTTACCACTGAAATGGAGCAGCGGAAGAGGATACCTTCGGAGAGTTGGGCACGACCAGTGGTCGGAGAGGTGGCCAGGTCGCGAGCGGACCGAACTTTCACAATGTCGGAGCGTGCCTTTGAAGGCATATGGCACGATAATTCGGTATTCGGTCTAAAATGGTAACAGGGTGCTACTTAATGAGGGAAATGGCAAAAAAACGAAGTGAAACGGTGAAAACCCTAACCCTGAAAAAAACTCGTTCTTTATGACTCAAAAAGCAATTTTCGGGAAAACGCAGTTTATTGTAGGCCGCACTAACCGCTACTTGTAGGGGTACCGGCTGCACCTAATGTACTCCATATGGTTGGAAGGAAAGTATTCGTCAGCTTGGCTGTGATTTTTTTTTCCTTATTGTAACATAGCAGCCGGCGAATTAGTCAACAATATAGTGCGTCACGCCGTGCTCGACTGATGCTCATCCAAGTTTGCTCGACAGTTTCGTATCTAAGGAGAGCCAGAGGCAGGAGCGAGATTAGCAGCTCGTAGGGGCCTCATCTAAATGTCAAGAGAATACGATGAGGCAGGCGTCTGGTCTCACCCTTGCTCCTCAATAATTTGATAGGTCATAGCAGTATGGGGTCATCGTCCTTGGGAAGGAAGTGCCCCGAAGCTAGTCTCGGTCATTTTTCTCCAACGAGTTTCTGGAGCTGAGTGGCACAAATGGTAGCAGTGACCGTGTGCTCTTACAGGGCAGCTCGTTCAGCAGCATCCCCTCCACGTCCGCGAAGCAGCACAGGAGAATCTTCTCTCACCAAGGGATACCCGGGTGCGCAGCGTGCCATCGGTTAACGTATGAGTGATCCAACTAGCCAGTACTTTTCGGTAGCCAAAGGCTTACAGGCAGTTGACGACTGTCAGTTAGGTACATCCGACTGCGAGCGGTAATCTCAGGATCCTTTCTGACAGCTCGAGAATGGTAGAGTCTTCCACTTCATGGGGCCGTCACCGAGGTTTGCCTTTAAGGGTCGTGTCTCCCTTCGCGAAGCGAGGCGGAATTGCAAAGTACGGACAGAGATGATGCGTAGTGGTGTCCTCCGCGCAATGTGCTGCTTGGCTGTTCGCGGACAGCTGCCGCTGGCTCGCAGGCCGCTGGGACCACTGATAGAATGACCGACGCCCACAAGATGCTCTCTTGCGCAGCAAACAACTCGACAGTACTCCGTACAATGAGATATCGCATCTTATGAAAGCCTGCAGGCCCTTCCACGGAAGGCTAGGGTGTTCAGAGCTTCCTTATAGTAGCTTCTACCTACGGGCATTGGGCACCTGTCTACTACCCCCCGGTCGCAAACTCGTTTCGAGCATCAAGAAGCCGAAAAGTGTGAGCTTTCAAAAACCACTGGCAGGACTTTCCTTCCTACCTATATAACTATGTGGCGCCCGCTCATATCAATCTCTTCGCTTGCTCCTCACTGTTCTAACTGATAAGCAGTACGCTGTGCTCACCCAGGTACGGTCGTCCATTTTGTGGCGGTGTGGGCAAGGCCTGGGCGTTGTCGGGTCGGTAATGCTGGCCAGCATTGAGCAGAGCTTTATGATGGCACGCTAGAGAAAAGGCGGCTACGGCCTCAGCCCGGCTCTCTGTCCGGCTGCCCCGAAATCACGTCGCCACCGCTGCGCCCAGGGGTCATTAGAATATCATTAACTCAACATCTTCGCGGCAGTGTTCCACCCCGATCATCGCCGGACCCCCACGAAGTTCGTCTCTTGGCAGAAAGAAACGCTTCCGGTCACGCGCAAAACACGTTCGATTAGTACGCGGTGGGTTGCCGCGCCCTCAGAAACGGTTCTTTTTCGCCGCAGGTCCGCGACCAGAAAGCGCGCTCGTGCCCTGATACGTGGCGTGGGCTCGGGCGAGAGCCGGTTGTGGGACTGATCAGTAACGAAAGGTCAGGCGACCGGCCGCAGCTTTCCACTGCTGGTGGCGTTTCCTCTAAGGCCCGTTACATACGGGCGACGTGCGCGACGTTCAGAGTGTCTGGAGCGGTATGATATATGTGTCTTGAGCGTATGCTGCGTAAGTTTGCGGTAAGCCTGGGCGACTGGTTCGTGAATAATACCATTGCCCTAATCGTATTTCGATCTCTCTTTCGCCAAGCTGCGGGAAGTGTTGGCGTGAAGGTGGCGCCTGATGTTGCGGTGAACTCCGTGCATGGATCTGTTACTGAACTACTTCGCCCTTTCCTCCTGATCCGATACGTTCTATTCTTCTGCGAAGTTGTCGTCGGTTAGCGGCAACTTAAGCGCAGCACTAGCGCAAAATTGCGCCGCTTATACGTGGCAGCTTACGCAACGCCTTACGAGACTTACGCAACTTAGCGATGAGCCGCCTTTCCTTTGGATCGATAGCGTATTGTGTTCTTCAGTCGCAACTTACGCGCCAGTCCGTTACGCAAACTTACGAACTTGAATGTCGGGGCAAGAGATCGCTTCATGTGCATCGGTATTGTAATGTCCGCGCCTACAAGGCGGAGCCTGGAAATCGAATACGCTATGCTACTTAGTTTCGCGCCCAATCCAGCGCGCTGACTCCGGATACTGCGTGGTCAGCGTTCGAACGGGCGGGCGGTTTCGTGATTCTCTGCGCTGATCAACGCACGTATTTTTGGTGTCTTTTCGGACTCTCGAGTACAGTCTTGTTTTTGCTCTACCGGTCAGCTCGATACTCGTGTGACTGTTCTGCAGGGCTTCATATTGCGGTTTGGACGGCACAAGACGCGTTTTACCATCTAATCTTCTTGTGCGCTCCTCAGTTTATGTTATCCGTGTCACCCCCTTGATAAATGGAATGGCTTCGGGACAGCGTAGAAGTTGTTTTACTGCTACCAGCGAATTACGGATTTTGCATCAATAAGTAGAATCGCGAAGTCTGTTTATATCAGCAATGACCCGTACTCACGCAGTACGCGGACGCAATAATATGATTGGCTGATAATCGCTCGTAGTGAAATGAATAGAGTAAATACTCTTTGGCAGAGACCGGGAGAACATTGCAACGACTAACGGCCGAACCTTGCTCAATATTAACCCAATGACCGGAGCCTTCATACATAATCAGTTAGTCGCGAATGTTGCGGGAGGGTGAATCGATTCACTTAGCTCCGGGATACATCGATGGGCACTACAGGAGGATGTAGACAAATTAGAGGTAGATGGTGCCTGTAACCGAGAGCTCTGGTTGGGTCAAACAGTGTTGAACGCAGAGAAAAAGATGGCCGAGGACTGCGCCGACTGGTCTCTAGTGAGCATATGGAGGAATAGGAGAGGGATGAAGCTCGTACGTCTGCCGAATGCATTCAACGGTGCTTTCTTTTCCGGCCAAAAATAACTGCCAGATAGGGGGGCGGTGCCTGTACTGCCCTTAGGAACCCCATATCGACTATAAAATACATCTTGAAGCCGATTGATGATGTTTTGTCCCAGCAATTACGTTAATACCTCTTATTCCGGGGTATTAGCTTCACCGTCGTGACAGTTTGATGGGGTTCGAGTTCAGCTGAAGAGGAAACCTAGCCTTTCCCAACCCGTTCTCGGAAAAAATCACGAGAAAGAGCACATGTGCTTAGGAGAGTAGCTCAATTGCAGCTTAATGCAAAATGGCCAAGACTGCTACTTGCACGGACCCAGTCCGCTAAAAAAGGGCAGAATTCAGAATTACACGTAGGCTTACTTGCCCCGCTTTGGAAACTTCTATAAAGGACTTCCACCATGATCGCTTGTCATTCCGCTTCCCATTTCTCAGAAAACGGTCGGAGCATAGCATAGACATGCTACAGCTACCTATATATACACATGGTAACCTTAAACGACGCAACAAGTCACTATGGCTTTTCAGGGGAACAGCAAAGAGGGGACATTTTTTGTGCCCCGATCTTTGCAGATTCTGCAGACGGGATTGCTTATTATACTTCGCAATTTGAAACAGCAGACAAAAATGACGTTTTTTTCACCTGGAGCTATTAAAGGCAGGACTCTGATTTAATAAGCAAACACATTCTTACACCAACATGATCCCATCGAAAAGTGGTTCGTAAATGTCAGGATCAGCCAGGCGGCACAAGATCAAATATCACGCCTACTGAAGGTCGCAAAGCGCCGCTAAATCGGTAAATTCCACTATGACATCACAACGGTTTGATTTCAAATGGAAACGCTAAGTGAAGCGGAAAATGTGTAGCAGTTCGCCGCGAGCGATGCATACGGGAAATGTCAGAAACGCACCCAATGAGTTCAACTAAAAAAACAAGGTTTACATAAATAAAAGGGTAAAATAAATAGAAAAGTTCGCCGGAGTGTGTAAGTAGACTAGTTTTTCGTCCGGATTTCATGGCACACATATGTAAATCACTCGATGCCAAGACCATGGCGCAGAGCATTCGACCACCTGCAATTGTACTGCTTATGAGTCATCGTAAACTTACTCCTGTTCGAAGGAGAAAAGAGGCTCTTTAAAAGGAGGTGGGCGAAATGGAGCAACTCATTTTGAATCGACATTTATTGAACCAAGTGGGACCTTTTTTACACCAAATCGCACACTTTTCGAATCAAATCGGACTTACTCGACACATCGGACCGTTGAATAATTAGACCGCTTAGGTAGTGCTTCAATCCCCGCCCCAACACCTAGTCCAGTTGTCAGCGGGTCATGGCTTTTCGAGATTCGTTTTATGAATTTTGCTTCTGTGACTTCTTTGCCTTTCTGCCATTTCGCACGTACAGAGGGAAGGATCAACATACCACTATAGATACGAGTCTGTGGTGTTTACCAGGATATTATTAAGAATTTTGAATTTTTATAACTTTTTTCAGCGTCTTTACATATCCGTTCTTCACAAAACGACTGTACCCATACGCATGCATTCATACACTGGCACACCGAACTCCACCTTCTTGGCCTCGCCCTCTCCTATGCATTTCGCGGAATTTTAATATTATTTTCATCAAAATTTCAGTGCTTGTAGCTGCAACAGGCGGTTCCGCCCTCCATGAGAAGTTGCGCCCACTTCTCAGGAGCCCCGCTCATTTTCAAAGAAAAACTATTCAGATCGGCAGAAATAAGCCAGGCAATGTTTTCCAAGCGACGAGAGACTCTGACGTGCCAGCTGAGACTCTAACCTGCCGTTCTTAGATAATTTTTCTGTAGTGGGCGAGTTTCTCATAGAGGATGAAACTACCATTAAACTACCATGGAACTACCAACTACTAAGCATTCTAAAATGAAAATACAGATGAAAAGATTGAAATTTCACAATAAGACGCAAAACTTCGCGTGGCTAACGGGGCGGAGCATAGTGGACCATTGTGGGAATGAATGTCTACCAGTATGTTTTTTGTAAAAAAGTAGTATTGATACAGACGTAGATCCGCTTGAATTCGTATAGCTTTTCCGACGTCGCTGAAAAAAACTATGAAAAGTCAGAATTCGCAATATTCTCCCTAGATAGTGGGCGAAGTTATTACGTGTATATCAATCCTAGTGTGTATGTGCAAAAAAGTCACAGAAGCGGAATTCAGAAAACGATTTATGAAAAACCGTGGTCACGCTGCGAAGTGGGCGGGAGTCTCTGCAGCAGGGCTAGCAGCAGTGATTAGTTTGGTCTAGTTGAATCAACTGTCCGATGTATAGAGTGTGTTCGGTTTGCTTTGAGAAGTGTCCGATTCCAAAAAAATGGTATATATTGCTGTTATTGTTTGATAACTGCTGTTTAACGCCGCAGTGCGCGATCCGAAAGTTATCACAAGAATGCTGAGTTGTGGGCAAAAGTCGGACCACGGACGGGATTCGAACCCGCATCTTCTGCTTACCGGGCAGTTGCGTTCCCTATTACGCTACCGAGGCCACTTGACCACTCAGACTTGGCTGGCTCCCCTCTCATCACGTTGAACGTGTGAGTGCTCGAAGGCAATGGCACAAATAGCCATTGAGCTGAGAGGGCAAAGAGTGGCCCCGGTAGCGTAATAGGGAACGCAACTGCCCGGTAAGCAGAAGATGCGGGTTCGAATCCCGTCCGTGGTCCGACTTTTGCCCACAACTCAGCACTCTCGTGGTATAAATAGCGAAAGTACACAATGCCAGGTAAAGAGAGATCCTCTCAGTTTTCTTCGTGGAGAAGAAACCAACTAGTTACAAGGAAAACAAGTCTCTACTACTTCAAGAGATTTTCCCTGAACTCACTTGATGATACTCTTCTCATGCTCAACTCGAAACGAAATGACTTGTTCCTTTCGATCTGTCATGATTTGGTTGCGATGAGTTAGCTCGAATTGCGTTCCTCCACTTTCAGCTTCTGTTTCCTTCAGTTCAAAACCGTAGATGACATACTGCTCACACGGCTCATCATCCTGAAATATAACTATCATGTATGAAAGGCTTACAAGGCATGCGGAACAGCAACACTTTGTAACACAGTGCAAAATGCAGAATATTTTTGGAAATTGATGTTTCCACTTATCCCTCTCATAAGGGAGACAACTGACCGAACACTCTCTACGTGCTAAGCTCAGAAATCGCAGGTCATATTTAAGTTACGTTGGCAGAACTAATGTAGTCACACTCCACACTCAAAGACAAGACAAGCAGAGAGATGACCTCGAAATCGCCACCTAAAAACTACGGATGCTCGAAAATTCAGAATTCAGTAACCTAGAAGATCAAGGCACCTATCGGAGAACCCTCGCGCTGCTATATTATCGCTATGAGTGAGAACATTTCTGAGATGTCCAACCGTCTAGATTTCTACCTCAGAAAGCATTCCAAAGGAAACCTGGAACATTCCAAAGGTGAATTAAAAAATAACTCATATCATGACAGCGCCGCAGTGGAAATCTCCAAATGCCAGATTCTATCTCAATAGAAGCGATCCAACGATCCACTTTTGTACACAACATAACGAAAGACCCCTCTACCAAAACATTGGCACACTTCAAGCCACCTCAAAGACAAAACCCCGCGACTGCACATCGTTGGTTTAGTGCGTTCCAGTTATAGACCCTAAATCTCTGCAGACGCTCTCTACTGGAAAGCGGAAATAATAAAATCATGAAAACACTCCTAAGGACCCCTCGAGACCCCTGGTAACTTTCTGCAAGCTTTTGCAGCCTGCTGTTATGCAGCCCAAAGCGATATCGCCACCTGTGGTCGCTCTCGTAGTTTCTTCGCCTCATTCACCAATACTAATACTATCAACAGATGGAAATGAAACAAAAAAAAAGCACGGCGCAAAACTTGAACTCGTGAAGAAAATAACTTCGAGTCGCGCGGCGGGTCAACTGTGGAGGATCCCAGAATCTGTCACTTATGAGGCAGCAGCGCCTTCATTTATGCGAGTACCTTCATAGCATGAAATGAAAAGATCTTAATCGAACTCCACCGACCACTAGAACAAAGAAGGATCCTACGAGTTTCGACTAGGCAAAGTCACAACGTAGCCAATTTTTGGAAGTTTAATTTCTGGATACCTAATTCCATGAAGGTCATAAAAACACTAGATCGTTAGGGACTTGAGCGATGTTGACACTGGCTTTGCAGCCTCCTGGAAGCATGGAAAAAAAATGCTGCGCTGACTGGACTGCGTTCACTCGATGATTTACCTGCTAAAGATGACATGAGACAGAGATTGGCTCAGCCTCCGTGGGTTCATACTGCGCGAAGCTCAACTATAACAGGGTTAGTACATCGCTCCGAACGCTGATGACGATCCGGTGAAACTGGTCAGGAGCTCGCGCTGCATCGATAAATGACGAAAGAACTCCAAACAGCGCACAATAACTGAAGATGGTGGGACAACCGGCGGCATTAATCAATCGGGAGAAAAGTATCACGAAAATAGAAGACTAGAGAAAGGATATGAAGATAATTATAAGTAAAATCATTTCATAGAGTACCACACCCCGGTTTCAGGCTCACAAGATCTTTATTTACGGTCTCGACCAGTGTGACCAGAATAGCCTTCGTCGCTAACATTGTACGTTTACTGTCTAGCAATAATTCACAATGCTCCCCTTCGTAAAGGGTATCTCGCCAAATAATTACAATGGAAAAATCGGACTCATATTACACCGCTGCTATGCTGCCTTCTGCCTGATGATCCGTTAATCAAATACACATAAAAATTCTGTTTTAACTGAACACTGACGTTACATAAGCCATGCTTCTCATGACTGCATGATTAATGAGAAATAAAGGCGCTGAAATCCGCTAAAGTGCAATAATAAAGTTAGTAGAAAACTACTTCACGAATGCGCTTTGTAAAACTTCAAGACCATGCCGTCCGAAAGCTGAGCATGCCGCACAATCTCACCTCCTTTGACATTCCTTAAAGAGACGTCATGAATGAATGTGGAAAGTGAAACTATTCTTGAATCCAATACAGCGGCTATTTGACAATGAAATTAAGGAGGAAGACCAAATATAAGTTGAAAACAGAGCGCTGGAAAATGATCGCTCAAGACCTAATATATGCTGGTACAACAGTTTTTCCATTATAGCTCTCCTAAAACCTCCGTAAATCCTAGTGTTAAATAAAATCCCACGATGATTTTTCGTATGTATCTCTTGAAATATTGAATAGAGTGGAAAGATAATGAGACTAATACGTCGAAATTATATGTTGGGCGAGGGTGGAATTATCAAAGATAGTTCATTTCCGTGTCTAGCACGTGCCTTTTAGACGAAAAGACGGCAACTATCCTATCACTGTGCTCTTAGCAAATGCGGAAGAGGAAGAAGGATCGTGAGAGATGAATTTCATTGATTGAAGTAAGCGGAGACAAAACAGAAAAGTATCGCTAAAGGAAGAAAGAAGTCACCCTATCACTATAGCGCGAAGAGCATTAGGGTCACCTCAAAACCATGCAACGGGAGAACAATTAGCTTCTTATTTTTCCTATAACCTATACCTATGACCTCATGTTCACCAGATACCAACTGAATAACGCATTCTCCAATTATTAACTGCACTCATTCTAACCACCTAGATGTCAATTCACCAGCCCAGAACTCCAGCAGCTAGAGTCGAGGAAGCGCGAAATCTTGTTTTCCGGCTCTTTCTAATCGAGTATTCCCCTCGTACACCCAAAATGATATCATGCTGAAGAGAAAATCAGAATATGAAAGCCGAGAACTTCTAAACCAAGTAGGCAAACTTCATACGCATGACCGCATGCCACCGTAAAGTATGTGCCATGAAATGTGAGCATCAACACCAAGCTACCCTCAGAAACGCGTCTGCCACGTTCTGCTGATACGAAACTATACTTTAGCGATAAACATGCTGGCAGTAGTTCAAGGCCCAATATTCCATTGAAATCCTACCAACAACGAGCGAAAATCCCTTTTAAATATCCTTTCTGCTCTTGAAGAGAATGTCCTCCATGACAGCTAACTTTTGATCGTGTATTTCTAAAGAAACCCAACCCTCATCCACTGTAAACAGCTGGCGGCGAACGTTTTATTATCTGTACGCACATAAGCGAGACTGACGCATATTTTTGTCGCCAGCTCAGGTTGGGTGAAGAATGAAATTTCGCCCTACCACTACTCGCAACCACCATAGCTCTTGACTTCTACGACTAGGAGTCATGTGAAACATAGGAGACATGCAATCTATCGCGATCTCCTCATTCGGTTTCCACCTCTCACGTTTATCGATACTCGACTAGCATCAAGAGTTACAGTCTCATTCGACAAGTACAAGACTTTAGACCAAAATTATAATACTGAGTAAATGTGTTTTTGGAACTACTTGACCAACGGATTAGCTCTAAGAAAATAGGCGAAACTCACTTGACCAAGTGACTTTCCAAAGACGAGACCACTGTCTGGCACCATTCGTTGCTCAATATTCATACGCTTGAGCCTTCTATTTATCGGAGGCATAAAAAGAGTTTGTGGTTCGACGACAACATATCTCTCTGTAGAGGAGACAGATTATATCACTCATCAAACAAATCAGCAAAATGTAACATGGAAACAGAGACTCCCATACCTTTTCCTGTAGCCCGCCTCCCTTCGGCACACGAATTCTAATTAGACCCATCAGAACCTAAGCAGCTATGTTGATTGCAAATAGATACCCGATTGTCTGGAAGAGTTTCGTACGAGGCATCTATGCGATAGGCACATCGTCAAGAAAATATGAGTGAAGAAGCTACATAAGCTCTCCAATTTGTCGTAACATTCCGGACAAACAATTTCCTTTTTGAACTGGAATTTAGAAAGTGGCGCTTCCCAACACATGTAGAGCATATCAGCTGAAAACGATGTTTGAAAATGAAAGAGAAAACGCAAAATGTAGCAGCACTTACCCAGCCACAGTCGCGACAATGATGACGGCGGTTCAAGAATGAAAACACCGTATCGCATCCCTCCATCAAACATTTACTTGAAGCGTCATCAGGAATCCACAGCGGTTTCATAGCATCGGACCGAATTACCTCTGCAAAAAACCCCTCTCAAAACAAGTCGATGAGGATGAAAATTGGTAGGAAATGGTTACTTCGCTTCGATGACAATGGTCCATTGGAGGATGGTCCAGGTTGGTCATCGACTGGTGTACTTGGGTGGGACGAGGATTCCTGCGAATCCGAGTTGCAGCGTGAACTACAAAAGTAGGTGCAGTTGAATAAACATGCAGAAACAAAAGCTCACAAAAGTGTAGCAACATTTTAAACATTCCTTTCAACGAGAAGTCCTGCCACGAATCAAACAAATGTCTTGCAAGTCTTCATAGAAGGCCAGGTCTTAATGCTGACCATAAGCTTGCTTGGGAGGATAGAACATTGAACACTACCCACAACCCCTTTGAATATGAAAACAAGTCGCACTCGGTGCACGTTCCGGAATCACTTGATTGAAATCATCTAGTCAACCTCAACTAGTCACTGCACAACACTTCAGCGGAAATGAAACTAAACGAAATGAAACTAACTAACAACTACAACTAGAGGAAGAGCGAAAATCTTCACATGCCAAAGGGTGCACTTATTAACAAAATCCCCTCTCGTAGCGTTACGTACTCATGCCGCTGAAGTCAGTGTTCAAGTCGCTTATGCCCATCGCCTTCAAAGAAACCTCGATAAATATCGCCACCACTAGGGCATCATTCCGTGATGCATAACTTACAAAAGTTGATGGACCTAAAGGCACATTTGCGCAAAAGAATTACAAATAGTTGGGCAGTAGATGCCAAATACTAATGGAAACCTAACTGATAATCATTTGAAGAAACTTAACTGAGCTATATGTTTGACACTTATTCAATATTTGAATGAGTGTCCTCTCTTACAGTGCTGGCTGAACCCGGGACATTCATTCCGGACCGTTGGAGTATACAGTGCGTAACAAAAGTATGTGGACACCTCAAATTTTTGTCCTGCAAAATTGCCTTTGAATTTTGCGATATGAGACCTCTATTGTTGAATTCCTCATAAGCGAAAACATAGGAATACATTACTTCTGAGCACTTTGTGAACTACTGTACAATTATTTATGGTTTTGAAAAAGTTTCTTAATAACAAAAGTATGTGGACACTTAACAAAAAACAAATGTATCGTGGGAAATAGAAGTTGGTTTTCCTCCAGCGTTCACTATTACTTCGAACATTCTGTCTGGCATGCTGTGGACAAGATTTGTGATAGTGTCTTCGTCGATTTCCTCCCATGCAGCCACTACCGCCTCCTTGAGGTCTCGCACGCTGTTGTACTGCCGATTGTTCATGTAAATTCGTCGGACCATAATTCCCCACAGGTTTTCGATTGGGTTGCAGTCAGGAGAACATGCCGGCCAATCCATCACTTTGATACCATTGCGCTGGAGCCATTTTATAGTAGAATTTGAAACATGCACGGCGGCGTTGTCCGTGCTGGCGCCATGCATTCATCGGAGCCGTGTCGCTGGTCGCCCCCCATGGACCTACTCAGAAAAGGCACGAGTGTTGATTCGAGCGACTCCTTGATATTCCTGACTGGTCATAGGGGCACGATGGGCAAGGCAGCTCTATTCTTTCGCGCTGGTTCCAAAACCACACCCACACCATCAAAGAGCCGCCTCCGAAATTTCGCCTCGAGAACAGCAATGGATCGCGACGAAGGTCTCTCCAGTAGTGCCGATATCCATCTGGACCATCGAGATCGGACTTTTTTTCATCGGTGAAGATAACCTAAGAAAGAAAAAGCACATGGGATGTTGCGCCTTTCTGATTTTACAAATTTCTCAGAAAACTTCACCTTGTCCCACGACGTCGCCATGTTAGCACGCGGCGAAGTTCAGTCGGCCCAGCCTGTTTGCGGCAGTTCAGGCGAGGAGCTTTCTTCATGGTCTCTCGTGTGATATGCTCATTTGATCGAACATAGCGCCATATCGTCATTTTTGAGACCGGTAGATTAATTGCAGCATGGATCTATCTCACAAAAAGGGGAGTTTGAGGCGCGACCGGTCCGCTATTCTTCTGATCTGTGCTGTGTGTTGCGGCCACAAAGAAGTCTCGGCCGACCCCCCGATGATATTATGTTGATCTGTAATTACATCAGGATTCTCAGGTATTTACCAACGCACGTCGCCGAACGTCCGAGCTGTCTTGCAATTTCTCTATTTGAGTGTCCAGCAGCACTGAGAGCTCGAATCTGAGATTGTTCGTCTTCGGAGAGAGTGCTGCCACGACGAGGCATGTGTTTAGATTAATGGCAGGGGAGCAGAGACGATAGATATGGGTTGCAGATTTGGAGTCAAACTTTGAACTTTCTCAGGTGTCCACATACTTTTGTTATTAAGAAATTTTTTCAAAACAATAAATAATTGTACAGTAGTTCACAATGTATTCAGAAGTAGTGCATTCCTACCAGTATACTTTCGCTTACGAGGAATCTAACAGTGATGATCGCAAAATTCAAAGGCAACTTTGCAAAATCAAAATTTGAGGTGTCCACATACTTTTGTTACGCTACGTTATAGCACACCACATGGGAAAACGTGTTAAAACTGCGAAGTCTGAGAAACCTGTTTGGGAAAAATCTCCTCTATCCGAATACTTCCCAAAGTGACGAGCAAATACGACCTCCCCAATACGAGTCCCCCACGTGAAACAGGAAAAAAATCCACACTCAAAAAAAGTTTTTCTAGGTCAAGTATGGGCCTCCTCTTTGCAACGACCAGACATAAAAAGTCTCCTTCCTTTCCTATGCGCACACGACTGGCCATAAAAGCATCGATCACAACGACTTTATTGGAAGATGCAGATATCTGCCGTAGAAAGTGATCAAGTTGAATCGGCCACTAGAAAACTGAAGAAGCCCGGAAATGATAAAAACTTCTACCACCAA